TATTAGGGGAATGGGAGAGGGGGGCGAGGGGTCTATTTATTTGGGGAATGGGAGAGGAGGGCGAGGGGTCTATTTATTAGGGGAGAGGGAGGTGAGGGGTCTATATATTAGGGGAATGGGAGAGGGGTCTATTTATTAGGGGAATGGCAGAGGGGGGGTGAGGGGTCTATTTATTAGGGGAATGGGAGAGGGGGGCGAGGGGTCTATTTATTAGGGGAATGGGAGAGGGGGGCGAGGGGTCTATTTATTAGGGGAATGGGAGAGGGGGGCGAGGGGTCTATTTATTAGGGGAATGGGAGAGGGGGGCGAGGGGTCTATTTATTAGGGGAATGGGAGAGGGGGGCGAGGGGTCTATTTATTAGGGGAATGGGAGAGGGGGGCGAGGGGTCTATTTATTAGGGGAATGGGAGAGGGGGGCGAGGGGTCTATTTATTAGGGGAATGGGAGAGGGGGGCGAGGGGTCTATTTATTAGGGGAATGGGAGAGGGGGGCGAGGGGTCTATTTATTAGGGGAATGGGAGAGGGGGGCGAGGGGTCTATTTATTAGGGGAATGGGAGAGGGGGGCGAGGGGTCTATTTATTAGGGGAATGGGAGAGGGGGGCGAGGGGTCTATTTATTAGGGGAATGGGAGAGGGGGGCGAGGGGTCTATTTATTAGGGGAATGGGAGAGGGGGGCGAGGGGTCTATTTATTAGGGGAATGGGAGAGGGGGGCGAGGGGTCTATTTATTAGGGGAATGGGAGAGGGGGGCGAGGGGTCTATTTATTAGGGGAATGGGAGAGGGGGGCGAGGGGTCTATTTATTAGGGGAATGGGAGAGGGGGGCGAGGGGTCTATTTATTAGGGGAATGGGAGAGGGGGGCGAGGGGTCTATTTATTAGGGGAATGGGAGAGGGGGGCGAGGGGTCTATTTATTAGGGGAATGGGAGAGGGGGGCGAGGGGTCTATTTATTAGGGGAATGGGAGAGGGGGGCGAGGGGTCTATTTATTAGGGGAATGGGAGAGGGGGGCGAGGGGTCTATTTATTAGGGGAATGGGAGAGGGGGGCGAGGGGTCTATTTATTAGGGGAATGGGAGAGGGGGGCGAGGGGTCTATTTATTAGGGGAATGGGAGAGGGGGGCGAGGGGTCTATTTATTAGGGGAATGGGAGAGGGGGGCGAGGGGTCTATTTATTAGGGGAATGGGAGAGGGGGGCGAGGGGTCTATTTATTAGGGGAATGGGAGAGGGGGGCGAGGGGTCTATTTATTAGGGGAATGGGAGAGGGGGGCGAGGGGTCTATTTATTAGGGGAATGGGAGAGGGGGGCGAGGGGTCTATTTATTAGGGGAATGGGAGAGGGGGGCGAGGGGTCTATTTATTAGGGGAATGGGAGAGGGGGGCGAGGGGTCTATTTATTAGGGGAATGGGAGAGGGGGGCGAGGGGTCTATTTATTAGGGGAATGGGAGAGGGGGGCGAGGGGTCTATTTATTAGGGGAATGGGAGAGGGGGGCGAGGGGTCTATTTATTAGGGGAATGGGAGAGGGGGGCGAGGGGTCTATTTATTAGGGGAATGGGAGAGGGGGGCGAGGGGTCTATTTATTAGGGGAATGGGAGAGGGGGGCGAGGGGTCTATTTATTAGGGGAATGGGAGAGGGGGGCGAGGGGTCTATTTATTAGGGGAATGGGAGAGGGGGGCGAGGGGTCTATTTATTAGGGGAATGGGAGAGGGGGGCGAGGGGTCTATTTATTAGGGGAATGGGAGAGGGGGGCGAGGGGTCTATTTATTAGGGGAATGGGAGAGGGGGGCGAGGGGTCTATTTATTAGGGGAATGGGAGAGGGGGGCGAGGGGTCTATTTATTAGGGGAATGGGAGAGGGGGGCGAGGGGTCTATTTATTAGGGGAATGGGAGAGGGGGGCGAGGGGTCTATTTATTAGGGGAATGGGAGAGGGGGGCGAGGGGTCTATTTATTAGGGGAATGGGAGAGGGGGGCGAGGGGTCTATTTATTAGGGGAATGGGAGAGGGGGGCGAGGGGTCTATTTATTAGGGGAATGGGAGAGGGGGGCGAGGGGTCTATTTATTAGGGGAATGGGAGAGGGGGGCGAGGGGTCTATTTATTAGGGGAATGGGAGAGGGGGGCGAGGGGTCTATTTATTAGGGGAATGGGAGAGGGGGGCGAGGAGCCTATTTATTAGGGGAATGGGTGAGGGGTCTATATATTAGGGGAATGGGAGAGGGGTCTATTTATTAGGGGAATGGCAGAGGGGGGGTCTATTTATTAGGGGAATGGGTGAGGGGTCTATATATTAGGGGAATGGGAGAGGGGTCTATTTATTAGGGGAATGGCAGAGGGGGGGCGAGGGTCTATTTA